GGTTTAAGTTTTGTGTGGGCGGGAAAAGCCGCTTAGGGCCTTTGTTGTCTTTGGGAGGCAGCGCCATCTTGGGGACGTCCTTCTGACTGTTCTCTGCACCTTTCGTTCCTACCTTTTCTGTTTATTTGGGAGAGGGGCGTTATTATTCTTTCTGGCTGCTTCCTGCTGGATGTGGGCATTGTGGGGTGAGGTGGGGGAAGGGCACAGAACCAGTCAGAATAGTGTCCAGAGGTAGGCACTGAAGGTGAAGATTCTTGAAAGTTTGAGTTCTATGAAAGTTTTTTGTAAATGCAGAATGATGACTTGTTTTGGCCAGTCCTCCAGTGGGCACGATGGCGGTAGTAACCAGCTGTCTTGGAGTAGACTGTGGAGGTAAATAGAGAGCCTGGAAGAGAACATATCTAAAAGAAAAGTTAAGTGATGTTTAGGGACAGTAAAAGAGGAAGAAGCCAGGTGAGGCACAGGTAACATTGACAAGTGATGGCTGAGTTGAAGCTGTGAACAGGGGACTTCCTGATAGTGAGGGGAAATGAGCAGTAGGATTTTGTGTGCAGGGGATGGTAAGATTTTTTTTTTAAATGATACTGCCATAAATGCTATTGTGAATAATGCTGCAATAAACATGTATGTGTAGGACCAACTGTGTTGTTCACTGAAAGAAGACTGGATAAAAATGTGGTGTATATATATGATGGAATATTATGCAGCCATAAAGGACAAAATTATGAACCTTACAGCAACGTGGGTAGACTCAGAGCCTGTGATATTGAGTGATTTATTAAAGAAGCAAAGAACTGCATGAAATTACTGAATTGTAGCTTAATAAAAGGAATAAAGTCAGGTGCCCAGATTGACCACATTTATAGCAGCTGATACCATCCTTTTAGCAGGTTTATCTTTATCAGGCCTGTTTTGGGTGGCTGAAGCTTTTGCCTTTAGTGACAACTGCCAATTTGTTTACCTTTTTCTGGCTGGTGCTCATTTTGGAGTTTTTTTCTTTTTTTTCTTTTTTTTTTTTTTTACGACTTTTTAATGATGTCTACAAGAACGCCTGGTTTAAAACCCTTTAGAGTGAACAGACCACGAAGATGTAAAATGATCTGTTTTTACATATTTGTAATTATGAACAGGCAAAATTGTCAAAAATTCTCATGAATTATTAAACAGCAGCCTTAGTCAAAAGACGTGGACAATTAAATGAGCATAGCCAAAAAACACAAGCATTAGTGTTACTTAGCATTACAATATAAAGTAGGGAGTTAGCATACCTTACAAGACTTTAAGAGACTTTCCAGAAGTTTTTTACAGGGACAAGCAATTGATTATGATTTTAGGCAAGACCTAAACCTTTAGAAACGGACTTATTTTTAACTAACCTGGCCTTTAGCATTTGAAAACAAGAACAGTCTATTTATTTTCTTAGTTGACAGAGAAAGATTATAAAACTATTATTATTATTATTATTTTATAGGTGAATTAGAATGAGACCCTTCAGAATTTACGAAGGAGAACACAGGCTAAGGAAGGGAGGGGGAGTGGTCCCCAGAAAGAAGTTAAGATAACCTGTAATACTTTTATATGCAGCAGACAATTTTTCCACAACCTTAACAACAAAGGGCAGAAATTTTAACAGCGCCAATGGGTTGGGAGAAAACACCACATAAATAAAAGGAGACATAAAATGACATCAAGAAATATGCGCCAGTCAAGTTTTTAAAAGACCACATGTCCCATTAAACAAAGCATAATAACTCAACCAGCTTTTTAGCAGATTTAAAGTGACAGACACACACAGATAAGAGAATGAGGGGTATGGGAAATATTTGCTTTGTCTCCCTTTTGTCATACTTTTCATGAAGATATTTCAGACACCTCTTAGCAATTGATAGGTTGGTATATCCCTAACGCAGACTAACTATGTGGAGTCTTTTTTGTAGCCTCGAGTGCTGACAGAATTTTTTTTACTTTTTTTCCACTAACTTTTATCTAACATGTTCAATAAACTCATACTATTATTTGACATGCTTAAACCTTCTATTTTTGTTTTATGCTTTCTTTAACCAGCCATTCTATTATAGAACAAAATGTACCATACAAGCTTCTTTCCTATATAATTATTATTTTTTTTTATCCTTTCTTACTAAAAACATACCTTACACCAACAATTTTCTTTACATTTTTTCTTAACCTCAGAGCTCTAACCAAAGCAATAAGTTTATATGCAGCAGAAGGGCTTAGATAGGATCCAGTGTGGAACTATTAGGGAAATCCAAAGCTATACAATAGGCACTCAAAAAGTACAGTGGTGATGGCTTAGGGTAAAGAATAATACGAGTTTTAATTTTTGTCATAATGTCCCTTTTCAATAATGGAGCTGAACACATTGGCATAAGGAAAGAGTGTTGAAATATTTTATCTCTCAGAACACATGGAAGTAATGGCATAGTGAGGGGCCTGGATATAATGCCCTGTAACCCCACAACCAAAGGGGTGAAGGAAGGAGTGGACCAGGAATTTAAGTAGAGCTGAGCATGTAGCCCCCGTATTAATAACAAATGATATAACCCTGCCAGCTACTGATATTTCCACACTAGGCTTGGTTGGCTTAATGGTTTGTTCCAAAGACATTGGGGCTATCAAGTTAGGGGTGAGTTAACCTGACTGGAGCAAGCCCAAGAG